AGGGTAGGAGGTCTATCAACCTCCGACCCCCCCAAACGTCGGCTACACGCAAGAGTGACCCTGGGTAAAAGTGACCTTTGGTGCGCGGCCTTTTGTAACCGCGGGGGGGACAAACACGAGCGCGCAAGCCGCTGCTACCGCTTCTCTTTCGGCCATCGGGGGGCCCATCTGATGTGCCCGCACCAGAAAGGTCACTCCGGCGAAAGGCCACTCCCACTCTCGGGTCGGGCGAAAGGCGGGGATAGCAAAGGGGGGGTTTGAGAATCAGCTCACGCAGCTGATTTTCCTGGCGCCTCCCGGCGCCGGAGGCGGCCATGTATCGAGGAATGGGCCCCTCGGCGGGGCCGAAACCAGCTGCATGCAGCAGATGTCGTAACCCCCCCTTTCCCAATCCCCCCCTTTCGTCCAGCCCGGCACTCCCGGTCGACGACGTGGCGCAGCGCCCAACCTGCCCGGCACGCGCCGCCGGCCAGCGGCCGCACGCCACCGGAGAGGCCGCGGCCGGCAAACGGGCGCCGAGGCGCGGGCCCGGAGCTCCAGCGGCCCGCCGCCGGAGGGCGGCAGGAAGCTCACGGCCGTGTGCCTCGGCAGTCGGGCGGAGGAGGGGGGCGCGGCAAGCGCCAGAAAGTCGGGGCGTTGACCTAAAAGGAACCCTAAATCAGGAACGAGGCCCCTATTTTCCATAAGTTCAACTTCGATTGCACATCGAAAACCTAGGGAAAACCTGATGCAAGCTGCGAAACAATTCAGGAACACGGAGCCCCTCCCCAATGAAAAGGGTTCCTTCTTCAGCGCCCCGACTGTAGATGAAGGGGCCCTGGGACACACACATACATAGACACAACTAGCAGGATGCCCCATATTCTCCCATATTTTCGGAGTGTTCGTCTTCCCCCCCGCTTCCGATACTTTCTCACATTTTCCTGGGAGTCGACGATTGATTGTGTCTGTGTGTTTCTTTCCCTCCTGATCCCTGAGACCCAAGAGGAAAAGCAACAACAAAAAACGCCATATACATACACTTGTGGCGCTCCGCGCGGGTTTCCTGTATCTGCGCTGGGCCCCGCTCCCTGGCGCGCGGAGCGCGCCAAGGGCGGCGCTGGAGGCGCCGCCGGGGTCTATGTTTATGTGTTTGAGTTTTTTCTTCGAATAGCCTGGCGTCTCCATTTTTGTTTCGAGCTGGGCGTTCTCACCCGGATTCAGGCCCTGGGGCCCTCACGGATCGATCCGGCTCGAAAAGTGGCGTAGAAAGAGAGAGGGTCGAGGGCTCCAGGAATGATTTTTCACGATATCTCATATAGTGTTGGGGAGACGTCGGATCTCGGGGACTTTCGCACGCCGCAGTCTGCAGTCAGGATGATCCCCCCAGTCGAGGGCAGATGCTGGGATGGGAGCTTCTTTTCCACTCTTGACCCGCGGGCAGTCGGGCTCGCTGGTTACGAGGTCCTCCTCCTCCTCCTCTTCCTCTTCCTCCTCCCCCGCCTCCTCCTGCCCCTCCTCCTGCTCCTCCTGCTCCTCCTCCTCCTCCTCCTCCTCCTCCTCCTCCTCCTCCTCCTCCTCCCCCTTCTCTTCGTGCACACGCGGCCCGCCGCAGAGCGGGCTGCAAGCTCGCATCCGTGTGCCTCGCCCAGGCGCCGAAGGGGCCGTGGCGAAGGACAGGTTCGCGTCGCGGCGACGCCAGCGTTGGTCTCTAACGCCGCACGGATCGTCCAACCGTGGATTGGCGGCGAGCCCGGGGGGGGAAAAGGGACGGGGCGGGCCTTCTCAGGAGACTCGGGAGTCCCCCAGCCGCCTAAGGAGTTTCCGGAGCCTTCCCCGCAGACGCAGGAAACTTCTTCGAAGGCGCGAGGGTTCCTGAGAAGTCCCGCCGACATCCGCAAAGATCTTCTCCTTCTCGCTTCCCCCCCTCGCTCGCCGCCGAGCGTGGATCGTCCAACCCTGAACGATGGCGGCTTCCAGATGGCGCAGGTCGTTCGACATGAACGCGTTACTTTATGTTCGGCGACGACAGGCGTCATGGGGCAGGGGGGGGGGGCGGGGGAGTATGACGTAACGCCCCGCCCGCCGTCTGGTTCTGGCACCGCGGTCGCGCCCGCGTGCACGACGCGACGAGCGACGAGCGACGAGCGACGACGACGACGAAGACGACGACGCGAGCAGCATGCAGGTGGCGATATGCCCCACTGCGTTGGTGTACACCACAACGCTCGCGTGCACCACAACGCGCGTGTACACCACAGCGCCTGCGTACACTGCAACAAACGTGTGTGACGCAGCGCCTGTGTACAAAAAAATGCTTGCGTACACTACAGCGCCAGTGTACATGTGCACACCGCAGCAACCATGTGCAACACAGCGCCTGTGTACACCACAGTGCTTACTTGCACCGCAACGCTTGTGCACGCCACAACGGCTGTCTACACCAAAGCACCCGCGTGCAACGCAGCGCTAGTGTACACCACAATGCCAGCGTGCAGGAAAATGCAGATAATCGAATGCCACGGTTTTCCCTCCTCCGTCTTCCTCCACTTCCGCTTCCTCCTCCTCCTCCTCCTCCTCACCCCCTGTCGTGCGGGTTGGCGCTACAGCGTACATGCACATCTCAGCGTGCACAGCAGAATGGTCTATTGAATCGGTCCACTTGGTTCTCACACGGCCTATTTAGCTGGAGCCTCTTGGGCGCCGATGGGAGGAGTTAAGGTGATGCGGGCGGACTCGGGGGGACTCGCAGATTCCAGCGGCGCTCCTTTTGTCCATACGGGTTCCGATTGTCTTCTATGGAATCCACAAGCGCTCCATGTTGTCATAAGGATTCCATCCAACATTCTATATACAAAAGTGGTGCTGTGTTGCATACGGTTGGTGTGATGCACACAGGCGCCGTGGTGTACGCAGGAACTGCAGTGCACGCAGGCATTGTGGTGTACACTGGTGCTGTATCGCGCACGGCTGATGTGGTGTACGCAGGCGCTGTGGTGTACACAACAGCTGTTGTGACCACAGGAACCAGTGGCACAAACTGACGTTGTGTTGCGCGTGGATGCTGTGGTGTACATAGGCGGTGTGGTGTACACAGGCGCTGTGGTGCACGCAGGCACTGTGGTGTACACAGGCGTTGTGGTGCAGATCGCCACCTACATGCTGGTGATACCCGTCCTCCGTCATTCCCAGGCTTCCCCAAACCCCGCCGGCGCGAAACGTGACGTCATCGACCCCAAAGAAATATCAGCTGGAGCCCCGTCAGTGCGCACGACGACGATGAGCGACGAGCGACGAGCCACGAGCGATGACGACGACGACGACGACGACGAGCCACGAGCCACGAGCGACGACGACGACGACGACTGCGGATCAGACTCCTGTGCGGAGTCCAACGCAGACACCTACACGGATCCCAACGCGCACGGCAGCAGTGCCCGGAGCGCACTGGGGGGGGGGAGCGTTACGTCATAGGGGGGGAGCGGGGGCCATGACGCCCGTCATGCCCCAAGCAATAAAGAAACGAGCATCATCGGCGTGGCCGGGCGGTCGCAAGAAGAAGTACGAGGCAAATCCTGGGGGGTCGTCTTCGTCGGAAGGATGAATGGCCAGCAAGACCGCTCAGGGGTCATTGAGCTAGATTGGACCGGATTGGGCCTAGGATAAACCGGGATCGAGCGAGGTTAATGGCAAACGAAGCAAGATTCTGCCACATTGGCTCAGCTACCACCACAGGATATACCAGCGCCGTTTCAGAGCCAACATCCCTCGAGTTACATCCTAGGCTTAGGTCGGGGCTGTCTCCGTACAGGGGGATTTTGGACGAAAACAAAATCCCCAAAATGATCAAAAGAAGCCACAAAATAATAAAAAAAAACTCCCCACCCTATGTTTTGACTATTTCTGAATATTCCGTCTGTAGAGGGACAGGCCCGACTTAATCCTAGGCAGAGGGCCACGTGGAACCTCCCAAGAGTTGCACCTGAAGGACTGAAGGGGAGGAGCGGAAGGGAGGAGGGCGGAAGGGGGTGAGAGATGGGTCGTCGGGAGCGGTGGGATTGGGGAAACAAGTAAAAAGAGAAGGGAAGGGAGCAGGGCGCTGCAGATCTCGGGGGATGGGGAGCAAAGGGGGTCGGGGCGGGAGGCGACGTGGACATGGGACGGCGAAGCATGGTGCTGCACGTGAAAGCCGGGAGGAAGGGGTGGACTAGTCCTAAGCAATGGGACCACACGAATCCATTCGACGTTAAGGCGGGTACGGAATAACCGCATGCCCCTGATGTTAAACCGCTGGGGATAATTAAGTGCGGGGTCCAGGGGGGATGATAAACGTTTTCCCAGAGATCGCAGCATAATGATGATAATGCTGATGTTGATGCTGATGATGGTGATGACGATGACGATGACGATGACGATGATGATGATGATGATGATGATGATGATGATGATGATGATGATGATGATGATGATGATGATGCTGATGAGAAAGATGCTGATGGTGCTGATGATGACGATGGTCATGATGATCCTGTGCGCCTCTCTAGATCCTCGCTCTGATGGTCCTTGGCGCTCCTGGAGATCTGGCATCCCATAGCCCTACCACACCTTCGTGACTTGCGAATCGTGAAATGGTGAGATCCCCATTGCCATACCACCCGTTGTTCATGATGCTGCTATGTAGTTAATGTAAGAAGATCACAACTTGGATTTGTACCCCCCCCCCCGCGATAATATAATTCGGCCTTGCCGCCCCTCTTCCCAGACCGAATCTGCATTGACCCGGGATAGTAGTAAACTATCAGTGGTTAAGGGGGTGGTGATTTACTATCTGGGGGCCGCGGTTAAGCCACGCAATGCCGCGAATGCAGCCGATCGCCTGCGGCATGGCCCGCCGACATCAGCTGGGCGCCCCCTGCGAGGCACGGATGGCGTCGATCTTGGCCTTCTGCCTCCGCTTCTTCTCGTCCGCGGGGCACAGGTGGCAGAAGTCGCAGTCCACGGCCAGCGAGCAGCCCTTCGGCTTCCAGAAGAAGGCGCAGGGGTGGCACTCGGTGGGGTGGCCTGCGGAGCCGACGGAGGGGTACCCCCGGGCGTCGTCGTCCAGATGGCCTGGGTCCAGGGCGTCGCCCAGCAGCTGCCTGCCCGCCGAGTGCAGCGTCGACGTCGGCTGCTCCTGCGGGGGCCGCGCGTCGCCCGGCGCCCGCGGCTGCGCCACCGACGACCGCGGCGGGCGCTCGGCGCTGCGGCCGACGCTCGGCGGCCCCGCCGCGGGCGCCTGGGCGGGGGCTGCTGCCGGCATCGTGGCACGCGCGAGGGAGGGAACGGCGGGGGCCACGACGGTGGCAACCGCCGGCGGCGCTGCCGGTGGGGCCGGAAGGGGCACACCTCCAACGCCCAGCGCAGGCGGCACTGGTGGCGCGGGGGAGGGCAGGTAGCCGCCGTTCATGACCACGGGCATGCCGTTGATAACCTGCATCACGCCCTGCGCCGGGATCACCTGAGGCCCCATCGGCATCGGCATCGCTCCCATCATCATAACCTGGGGCGCCGCGGCGAAGGCCGCCTGAGGCGCCGGCGCGCTCATTGGTGCCGGCGGCGGCATGCCCGGCGACGCGTACATCCCGGGCGTCGGCATCCCCTGGGGCGGGGCCGCCTGCATCGTAGGCACGCCATGCGGCTGCTGGATCACCCCGAAGGGCCCGTGCACCCCACATGACGAGGAGACGCCTGGGCCTGGTGTGGGCGTCGGCGGGTACAGGTTCGCCGGCGTCTTGGCGGCCAGCGCGCTCCTGTCCGAGGCGGTCTTGGCGACCGCATCGCTGGCTGGCTGCCTGTTGCGAAGCTCCAGCGGCAGCAGGTCCGTGAGCACGTCCGGCATCCTGAGCAGCGCCCTCACGAGACCCGCGGCGCGCACAGCATGCGGGGCCCTCGGGCCCAAACAGCTTGGGCCAAAACGGCTATGGAGAGGAGGGTGGGATGGAGGGAGGAGGTGGGAAAGGGGAATGGAAGGGAGGGGAGCAGATGGAAAGTGACAAGACACGCGCATGGGGTACACGAAGTGCAGCGGTGGAGTCATGCGTCGGGTGCCGGGAGGGGACGGCCGTCTGCAGGACAGACGAGGTCTCCCGAAGCTGGAAACGAAGGCCGCCTCCGCCACCCGCTGGGCTAATCCTTCTCCGCATCCTCATCCTCCTCCCCCTCCTGCTGCTCCACAGCGTCCTCCGGCTCCTCCTCCTGCTCCTCCTCCTCCCCCTCCTCGACTCGTCCTCCTCGACTCGTCGTCTTCGTGGTCGGCGGCACCAGCTGTGAGGCCTTCACAGTGGCGCTGCCGCCACCCGGGGACCCAGGGGACCCCCCCCAAGCAGGGGACCGAAAGGAGCGGATAGCCGAGGACGCGCGTCTCCGCGAGTCCAGGGGAGGGGTCTGTCCCGACTCCATCGAGGAGGAGGAAGAGGAGGATGAGGAGGAGGATGAGGAGAAGGGAGGAGGGAAGAAGGAGGAGGAGGAGGATCCCGGGGGGGTCGGGAGGCCAGGCACTGCCGCGTTGTTCGCGCTCGGGTGGTAGAGGACGCCAGATGTTTCGGACCTCTCAGTTCTCTCGCGCGCGCCCGCCATTCACGAGCGGCGAGCTTCAGTCCGCAGATCGGCAGGATCGCACACCAAAAAAATGTAATGCCTCGAGTGCCCCCCACCGAAACCTTAAGCGCTTGTTCGCCTAATTGGTCGACAACTGCCGTTTTTACATTTAAAAAATGGTTCAACCGTGTTCCATGTAGTCACGTTCTTCTACGATGTGCTCTATTATGTCCGGTTGTGTTCTCGACGGGCCGGCAGGACGTCGTGACGCCTGTGATGTCAGATGCGTCGTATGGCATGGAGCTCCTCTTCATGTATGTGTCTCTTCTGATTGAGTAAATCAAATTCGGCTGATCTCTGTCAAAATAAGAATCGGCAGGGTTATGATCTAATCTGCTCTGTGACGCTATGAAATGACATACTATGCTGTGTCAATGTAACATCATACCTACCGGTGTGATCTCGCGCTGTCCTATTTCGACCGACCGACCGTGCCTCCGACGTGCGCTGGACTGGGATGTGTACTGGGATGTGAACTGGGACGTGTGCTGCCTTCGTGTGCTGGGATGTATGCAAGGCTGTGTGCTGCCTCCGTGAACTGGAATATGTGCTGGGATGTGTGCTGGCTTTGTGTGCTGGGATACGTGCTAGGGTGTGGCGTGGGTGCGTGCCGCCCCCGTGTGCTATGCCTGTCACCCCCGCGCCCCTCTGCCCCGTCGCCCCCGCGAACTTATCCCGACCGACCGACCCACCGTGCCCCCCCTCCTGCCCGACCGTGCCCTCCCGTTCCCCTGCTCCCGTGAGCTGGGATACGTGCTGGGATGTGTGCTGGCTTCGTGCGCTGGGATACGCGCTAAGGTGTGGCCTGGGTGCGTGCAGCCCCCGTGTGCTCTGCCTGCCCGCCCGCACCCCTCCGTCCCGTGGTCCCCGTCTGCTGAATCCTACCGACTGGCCGACCGTGACCCCCCCCCATCTCCGCCCCGTGGTCCCCGTTTGTTTATCCGGACTGACCGACCGATCGTGCCCCCCCCCCCTGCCCGACCGTGCCCTCCCGTCCCCCTGCTCCCCCCCCGCGCCCCTCCGCCCCGTGGCCCACGTATGTTTATCCCGACGGACCTACGACCTTGCCCCCCCCTCCGCCCCGTGGCCCCCGTCTGCATATTCCGACCGACCGACCGACTGTGCCCCCACGCCCCACCGCCCCGTGGCCCCCGTCAACCCATTCCGACCGCCGAACGACCGTGCACCCACCCCCTGCCCGACCGTGCAGACCCGTCTCCCTGCCCCCCCGCGCCCCCTCCGCCCCGTGGCCCCCGTCTGCACATTCCGACCGATCCACCGACCGTGCCCCCCCCTCCGCCCCGTGGCCCTCCTTTGCTCCTTCCGACCGGCCGACCGCGTCCCCCCCTCCGCCCCGTGGCCCCCGTCCGCATAAAGCCGACTGCCCGACCGGCTGTGCCCCCCCCCCCTCCCCTCCGCCCCGTGGCCCCCCTCCCCCACCGACCGACCGGCCGTGCCCCCCCCCGCACTGCCCGACCATGCCCTCCCCTCCCCGTGCCCCCCCGAGCCCCATCCGCGCCCATGGCCCCCGTTGGCTTTATTCCGACCGACCGACCGACGCTGCCCCTCCCCTCCGCCCCGTGGCCCCCTCCGACCGACCGTGCCCCCCCTCCCGTCTCCCAGGCCAGCCCCCCTGTCCCGCCCCTTCCGCCCCGCGGCCCTCCCGCCTGCTTCTTCCGACCAGCCGACCGTGCCCCCCCCCCGCTCTGGCCGCGCCCCTGGCCCCCCTCGAATCCACACGGTGGGCCACAAAGGACAAGGGCCCCGGGACAGCTCAAGCTTGCCCCAAGACAACCCAAAAGAGCCCCAGACGGGCCCACACAGGACCCCCAAGAAGCCCCAGAGACGCACAATAGCACCATGGCCCCGAAGAGTCATAGAGACGCCAGTAGCTCACAATGACAAACAAAATCTTCACGGCATAGTCCAGCGTGTCGCAACACTCGCGCGATTCCCCGAAACTGCAACAAATTGGCGCCACCTCCATCTCCCAGTGTCCCACATCCGTGATTGTTTGATCCTTGACACACGAACGTCTTGTTGAATAGTATGTTGTGTTCCATGATGCTGTTGACAGCTCGGCTCAGCATAGAAAAACATGCACTGCTCTTCTAGGATGCTTCGATATGCTTTGCGGTCGTGGTATGGAACGTGATGGCATGGCGTCATGATGTGATATGATATATGGTATGATGATTGGTCATGGTATGTGATGATGTGTGCTGTCGCATGTTCATGACATGCTATGCTCTGGTATGCGATGCGATGTCATGTTTACTAACGGCTCGGCTCGGCCCTGTATACTTTGTTATGATCTGCTCTGCTATTATGTGTCAACATGCCCTAATGTCGTGTGACGATGTGCTCCGCTATGCTGGATCATGAAATTATGATTTCTCCCAAGGTGTGTTATGGTGTGGTCGGGTATGGTATGGTGTCGTGTGTTATGCCGTCGTCTGTTATGTCATGTTCTGGTATGGTATGTGATGCGATGTTCTGGCATACCTTGTTTTCATGTTATGTCATGTTATCATGTTATGGCATGCTCGTGTTCTGTTATGGCATGGTATGTCGTGTCATGTTGTGTTATGTCGTGTTCGACGTCGGTATGATATGCTGTCGGGTTATGGCATGTCCTGTGATGTTTTGTTATGATATGATGTCTTCTGTCAAAGTGTGCTATGCCATGCTCGGCTCTGTTCCGTTGGTTTATGTTATGTCGTCTTCTGTCGTGTCATGTTCTGCTCTGATATGTTATGGGATGTTGTGTTTGTTGCCGGCCTGGCACTGTATAGTAGATTATGATCTGCGCTGCTAGACTGTGTCGCTGTGCTGTGCTGCTGGGTTATGATGTGTTCTGTGACGCTGTGCCATGATATGCTATGTCATTTCGATGTGTGTTATGTCATGCTCTGCTATATGGTGCAAGTGCGTGTGTTATGGTTTCATCTGGTATGCCATGTTCTGCTATGGTATGTTATGCGATGTCGGGTTATGCCCGTTTGTGTCATGGCTTTGCTACGTTCTGTTCTGCCGTCTTCTGCCATGATCGTGACATGTTATGTCATGATATGTCGTGTCATGTTATGGTCTGTCGTGGTCGACGTCGCCATGCTCTGCCATCGATACATGACCTGTTAGGACGTGTTATGCAATGATGTGATGTGTACCAGCAACGTGAGGTGTGATAGTATGAAATAATGGTATGGAATGTTGTGCTATGTCGTCTTATGTTATGTCATGTTCTGCTATGGTACGTTGTGCGATGCAATGCTGAGCCATGCTTTGTCATGTAATTGATATGCCATGGTATACGTTCTGTCATGTTCGTGTTATGTTATAATATACTATGTTATGTCAGGGTGTGTTCGATCGTTTTTTGTCGTCGGTATGCTCTGCTGTCGTAATATAATATGTTGGCTGACGCTGCGTCATGGTATGATCTGTTCTGTCAAAATGTGTGATGTGATTATCGTCTATGTTGCGTTATGCCGTGATCGGTCGCCCTATGCTAGATCATGTGCTGCTTTGGTATGTTGTATGATAATATCATGCTATACTTTGTCATGATGTTGGAGAGAGCGTGATCCACCGCCGCTTTACTGTGGAAAATTGCCAACCTTTTCCTCCGGAGCCCGGGGGTCCCCCCCCCCCCCCCCCTCCGAAAATCCCCCCCCCCCCTGCCGGAACCCCTCCCCCCCCCCCCTCCCCTCCCGGCAAAACCCCCCCCTCCCCTAACCTCCCCCCCCCCCCCCCTCCCCCTCGAAAACCGGGGGGGGTCACTACCGGTTCGAACCCCTCCCCCCCCCCCCCCTCCGGATCCGGAAAACCGGGGGGGGTCACTACCGGTTGGAACCCCTCCCCCCCCCCCCCCCCCCCTCGAAAACCGGAGGGAGGTCACCACTACCGGTTCGACCCCCCTCCCCACGCACCGCCAGCAAACGACTCCCGGTCCCTACCACCGCTCGCATCACATCCCCCACTGTTGTTCCCAGCACCACTGTCCTCACCACCACTGTCCCCACTGGTTCCACCACCGTCCCTATTGTCCCCACCAATGCCCCCACCACTGTCGCACTGTCCCCACTGTTCCCACAACTGTTCCCACCACGGTTCCACTCTCCCCACTGTCTCCACGGACCCAACCACTGCCTATCCCCATTGTCCCCACTGTCCCACTGACTCCTCCGCTGTCCCACTGAGCTGTCCCACTGTTTCCACCACTGTCCCCACTGTCCCCACCACTGTCCCCACTGTACCTCTGTCCCATTGTCCCACCGCCGTCCTCGCCACCGCCTTTACCAGTGTCTCCACCACCATTGTACCCTCCACTGTCCCAGTGTTTCCACCTCATTCCCACTGTCCCCACACCACTGTCCCCACCACCACCGTTCCCACTGTCCACTGTCCCCCCTGTTCCCACCATTGTCCCCACCACTGCCGTCCCCACCACTGTCCCACTGTCCCCCCACTGTCCCCACCACTGTCCCGCTGTCCCCTCACCACTGTCCCCACCAATACCGTCCCCACTACTGTCCGCACCCCCACTCGGTTTTCGAGAGGGGGGGGGGTTCGAACCGGTAGTGACCCCCCCCCCTTTTCATGATGAGCTGGGAGGGGGGGGGGGGGGTTCGAACCGGTAGTGACCCCCCCGGTTTTCCGGAGGGGGGGGGGGGGGGAGGGGTTCGAACCGGTAAAGACCCCCCCCGGTTTTCCGCCAGCAGCGGTAGAACACGCTCTTTCTGATGTTGGCATACTCTGTTCTGTCACGTTCTGACATGCGTTGATCCATTTTGTTATGTCATGTTGTGTTCTGTCCTGTTCGTCGAGAGCGCGAGGAAGGACACCCGGGACTCTCGTGGATCATTGGGGCAACTTGTAGTCTGGCGGCCGGAGTATGAAGGGTGGGGTTGGCCGGGCGCGAGGCGGCGCACATGGGACTCTCGGGGATCATCGGGACAACTTGGGGTCTAACGACCGCGGAATGCAGGGTGGGGTTTGCCGGGCGCGTGGCGGGATACCCGGGACCATCGGGACAACTTGGGGTCCAGCGGCCGCGGCATGCAGGGTAGGGTTGGCAGGGGGGCCTGCTGTTATCATCAGCGAACCCCAACCCGTCGGGTGGCAAGAGGAGGATGCAAGAACACGGATGAAGTGGGGCGGAAAGCGGAGACAGCGTGACTTCGAGACGCCTGTCGCGTTCGACGCGCAATCGAATCGGTCATTGTTGCGCCTTTTCGTCCGTGTGGTGAGCTGACGACGGGGCGGCGCCGTGCAGCGGTGGCTACTGTATACGTGATGTTGTGCGGTAGCGTGTTTCGTTGGATTCTGCCCCAATATGGTATGCGACACTGTGCTCTGTAATGATCTGACATCGACGGGCTGGCGTGACGTCGTGACGCCTGGGCGAGGCCGTGGAATTGTGGCTACTGTACACGTGATGTTGTGCTGTAACGTGTTTGATTGGAATTTGCCGCAATGCAATATGTGATACCGTGTTCTGTGATGTTCTGATCCCGACGAGCCGGCGTGACCTCGTGACACCTGTCACGTTAGATACGTCGTCGAATTGCTCTGCTCTGCGGCACCATGTTGGGACATGATATGCTCTGTCAAACTATGTCATAGTATGCTCTGTTCCGTGATGCTGTTGACGGCTCAGCTCAGTATGGAATAGTCAGATCTGCTCTTTCAATGTGTTTGCCATGTCCTGTTCTTCCTGATGCTCCTCTCCACTACTGCCGTTCCTGTATTCAAGAATGTTCGACACTGTTCCATGTGGTAACGGTATATCATGCTGTGTTGTGTCATGTCCGGCTATTTCCTCGACGGGCCAGCGTGACGCCGTGACGCCTGGGCGACGCCGTGGAGTGGTGGCTACTGTATAGGCGATGTTGTGCTATAGTGTGTGTGGTGGATTCTGCCCCGATGTAGTATGTGACACTGTGTTATGTGATGTTTTGATCTCGCGGCGCCTGTCACTTCCACAATATTGCATGTAGTAACGTTCTACCACATGATGCTGTATTGTGTCCTGTTATGTTCTCGACGGGCCGGCGTGACGTGGTGACGCCTGGGCGACGCCGCGGAGTGGTGACTACTGCATACGTGATGATGTGCTATAGTGTGAGTGCATGTGTGTGGTCGAATTCTGCCCCATTGTACTTTATGACGCTGTGGCCTTTTATTTTCTGCTATCAACGGCCCGGCGTGACGTCGTAATGTTTGTGACGTTAGAGATATCGTCGAATCGCTCATTGATGTGGCCAATCTGACTCACATGTACGTGCGGTGCAATATGTTATGATATCCCTCTGACCTTCCGTTTTCCTTGAAACATATGCTCTGAAATGCTCGCCTCTGCCACAATTTGCCTTGGTATGTCATGTTATTTCCTTCTCTGTGGCACCATGCTGGGGCATGACATGCTCTGTCATAATATATGGTTTGGCATGATATGTTCCGTGATGCTGCTGACGGCTCAGCTCAGTATACACTAGTCTGATACGTTCAATTAAAATGATATGCTGTCCTGTTCTGTCGTGGTATTGTTTTGGAGACCAGACAAGGAGGTTTGGGAACAGTGCGCCCACACCGTGCCCGACCACGCCGCTCGGACGACGACGACGGCGCCGCCGAAACCCGCAGCCAGCAGATCATGCACGCGGAGAGGTATGCTTTCCCATGTCGGGGGCGTCCCAGGGCCCGTTGCCACCCCGGCGAGCGGCATGGGCAGCGGCTCGCGGCCGCCGGGCCTGCTCGCCCCCCCGACACGTGCAATAGAGGCCGCAGGCGAGCGCTGCGGCCCCTCGGCCTCGGAGAAGGCGCTCAGGTGCGGCTGCTGCTGCGCGGAGGCGCGCGGCCGCTGGCACGCAGGCCTGAGCGTCTCAGTTCAGGGGTGAAACGGGAGGGACCTTTGTGCCACAAGGCACGCGGTTCCACTACACGTGACTACCTACCAGACCACCCCAACCCAACCCGAAGACCCGAATTTGACCCGCATTTCGGGTTGGGGGTGGTGCGGATACCGTGTGTTTCTTCAACGCTCCCCGACCCCCCCCCACTGGAAATGGAAGGCACATTGAGGGCTCCAGGTTGGGTTGGGGTGGTTTGGTGGGTGGTGATACACGGGCCCCTGGCCCGCCGCCCCCCTCGGCCCACACCTCCCCCGCCCCCCTCCGCCACCTCCTCCTCCTCATCCTCCTGCTTCTGTTCCTGCTCCTCCTCCTCCTCCTCCTCCGTCTCCCTCGGCCGGCCCCGCTGCTGGCTGCTCATGCGGAGGACGGCGCTGCGGCGGGGGGCGCGTCGCTCTGGTAGCCGTACGTGCCGCAGGACCTGTCGCCCCGCCAGAACGCCTCCATGTCCTTGGGGTACTCGTCCCCGTAAGGGTAGGCGAACGAGGGCCTGGCGCCGCCTGCCTGGCCAGAGCCCCAGCACTCCTGGAACAGGCACGTCAGGCCGGGGCAGCACTCGCAGCCGCAGTACAGGCTGAAAAATATGGCGACCTGGAGGCAAAAGCCCATAACGATTGAATAAATTTCGGACGTCACCCACACCTGGGGAACGTACGAGTCTGCGAAGCTCACGCTGCTCTCCCCGTGCGCAATCAGCCCCGCGATTAGAATGATGAGACAGACCAAGTTCAATGAACCAGTGATCGGCTTTGTGCAGCACACCCAGAAACTCTCAGTCTTCTTTCCATAATGTAGCGGGCCCCCCTTTCTGGCACATCGGCACGTGTATAGCCAGTACATGAGGAAAAGCAACGCGGACACGAGTACTGCGCAACTGATGCTGGCAAACTGGACTGCATCGCTCTGATGCTGTTCGCATTCAACCGTGTCGAGCACCGTGATCTCGCCTTCCACTTTCTTGCACGTATTTAGATCGAGGAATAGACATGCCATGCCGAAATTCGCAGCCATCCCGCATATCTTCACAATGATGCGCTTGGGCCGCGTGTACGGGTGCATCTCGTGGCAGAACAGCATTCCGAGGATGGCGTCGTTGTTCTTGATGAAGAACCACAGATCGCCGCACAGGTCGTGCTCCCTCCAGATGACCCGCCCGAGCGCCAGGCCCTGGGTGATCGCCGCCTTGTCCTTCTTTCGCTCCTCTTTGGCGGCCGCCGCCGCGGCCCCGGCATCCGCGGCCGGAGCACCTGGCTCCTCCTCGGCGGCCTGCACGTCGGACCGCATCCTCTGCTGCCGGGGTCGCCCCATGACGCGTGCGCCGAGGGACCCGAAACCCACCATGGCGCCTCTCTTCGCCCTGTGGGGTTGGCTTGAGTCGAGGGGGGGACGGCCCGCCGGCCGGCGCGCCCGCAGCTGCGCGGCCCCCGCCAGGGGAGAGCCAATGGCTGCGGACCTCTCTGTGGTGGTGCTCCTCTCAATCACTGCACAACTGCCGCTTCTGGATTCGAAGACGGTTCCACCATGTTCCGTGAAGTCACGTTCTTTCATGTTATGCTTTAGTATGTCCTGCTGTGTGTTCGACGGGATGGCGTGACGTTGTGACGCCTGTGATGTTCGATTCGTCGTCGAATCGCTCTGCTCTGCAGCACCATGTTAGGACATGATATGTTATGCCTGATTGCGTACGTTATGGTATGCTCATCTCTGCCAACACATGATTTGAGATGATGTGACATGGCCTGCTCCTCAACGGCACTAGTTGATGGTATGGAAAACTATGCCAAATTAAGAATTGGTATGCTCTGGTCCGTGATGCTGATGGCAACTCGGCTCAACATAGTATACGATATGTCGTGATGATGTTGACACCTCGTTTTACTATTATCACCTAAATGTGTAATGGTATGTTCGGTTATGATATGTTATGTCATAATATACCGTCTTCCGTTATGTCATGTCATGCTCGTGTATCTTATGTGATGTTATGTTTGTTGACGGTTCCACTCTGTATACTATGACTTGCTCTGCTAACATGTGTCGCTATGCTCTGCTGTTATGTCGCTATGCTCTGCTAATATGTGTCGATATGCTCTGCTGTATGTGCTGCTCTGCTAATACGTGTCGTTATGAGATGTATGTGATGCTGCGCCATGGTATGATATGTTATGATAAGGTGTGCTAACATAATATCGGTTATGATGCATTACATTGTGGTATGTCGTCTCTTGGTCTGACATGTTCGGCTCTGAAATGTTATGTGATGTTCCGTTCTGCTCTAGTGTGTCATGTGTTCGCTATGGTATGTTATGGCATGTTATTTCATGTTCGTGTTCTGTTCAGTCGTGTTCTATTGCGTCATGTTGTGTTCTGTCGGGTTCCGCGTCGCTATGCCCTGCGGTCGTAGTATGACATGTTATGTGATGCGGTGTCATGGTATGCCATGTCATGTGAAGGTATGTTACGTTATGCTCGGTTAGGTTCTCTTACAATGAGTTGGGTCGTCTTATGTTATGGCATGTTCTGCTATGGTACGTTATGTGAAAGTATGTTTGCTGACAGCCCGGCTCATGATATGCTATGCTAGTTTCATGGTGTGATATGTGATGTCAAGGTGTCTTATAGTATGATCGGTTATGTTATGTTACGTTGGGTTATGCTGTATTTGGTTATGTCATGTTCTGCTCTGGTATGCGATGTGATGTTATGTGATGCTCGATGTTACCATGACATCGCTATGATATTTTATGTAATGTTCAGTCATGCTCGTGTTATGTCATGTCATGTTCTGTTGTGCCATGTTGTGTTCTGTCGTGTTCGTCGTCGCTATGCTCTGCTGTCGTGCTATGGTAGGTTATGTGATGCTGAGTCATGAAATAATATGTTCTGTCAAATTGTGTTATGGTATGTTCGGCTCTGATCTGCTATGTTGTGTTCTGTCGTGTGCGTCGAGGGCGCCGGGATCGTCGGGACAACTTGTAATCTGGCGGCCGCGGTATGTAGAGTGGGGTTGGCCAATCGCGAGGCCGGAAAACCGGGATGCTCGGTACTCTCCGGATAACTTGGGGTCTGGCGGCCGCGGTATGCAGGGTGGGGTTGGCCGGGCGCGAGGCGGGACAACCGGGATACTCGGGATACTCGGGACTCTCGGCACAACTTGGGGTCTGGCGGCCGCGGTATGCAGGGTGGGGTTGGGCGGGGGGTCTGTTTTTGAAATCTAACACCCCCAACCTGTCGGGTGAGGGAACAACCAAATCATCAAACCATGCGCTCGGCGGAGGATGGTGGACGTCGACCACATGCGGCCTGTAGCTCGAGGGAGGCCTTGGTGAAGGGGACGGAGGGGGGGAACAAGGAGGGCGACAACGGGTCGGATGCTGTCTGTCCTCCTCCTCCTCCTCCTCCTCCTCCTCCTCCTCCTCCTCCTCCACCGCGCGAGATGAAGGAACGATGGCTGCCGTCAAATCGCACGCGTCAGAATCCCCTTCTCCTCAGACTCGCTGCAACACCCCCGGGCATGACTCGGCAAGGCTGCGGCCCCTGGCATCCGCGACAGTGTCTCCTGTCTCGCGAGCCTCGCGGGACCCTGCCGCGGCAGGACCGCGAAAAAAGGCCGCCCACCCGTGCGCCGATCGCCTGCCTGCGGCCTCCCCATGCTGGACCGCGGGCCACGGAAGGGGGAGGCGAAAGGGAGGGAGGGCCAGGGCAGGTAGGGGAGGAAGTGTTTCTCCGGGAGATGAGCCAGTTCTCCGGGCGAAGGTCGCCGAATGCCGAGTCGGTTGGTTCTCCGGGTGAGAGCCTCAAAGGTTTCCCCCCCCAAAAGACAGCACCCCAGACAACAAACCCCAAACCCCAAACGAACTACCACGAACCCCAAACAACAAACCCCAAACCCCCAACACCAAACACCAAACACAAAACCCGACCCCCCGAACACCAAAATCCAAACCCCAAACAACAAATCCCGAACACCAAACACCAAACACCAAACATCGAACACCAAACACCGAACACCAAACACCGACTACCAAACACCAAATACGAAACAGCAAGCACCAAGCACCAACACCAAACTCCAAATTCCAACCCCCAAACCCCAAACACCAAACACCAAACCCCAACTACCAAATCCCATCGTCGTCGCGGTCTCTCACGCGCGTGCCGCCGCCCAGGGGGAGGAGGGGGACATTGAGGATGACGACGACGGCCGTCGTCGTCAGTCATCGTCGACGTCATCGTCGTCGTCGTCGGGCTGTCTCACGCGCGCGCCGCCGCTTGGGGCACAATCAAGCCGCATGAGAAGGATGGCCAACCTTCCCAAGGGTACTTGGCGACTTTCGCTGCCCAACCTCGTTCGCAAAAGCGATACCATGGACCTCCAAAACTCTTGCATCCTTACCGCGTATCCTTATGATACGGATTGGCTGTGGGTAGGAGGATGTGGAGGAGGAGGAAGAGGTGGAGGAAGAGTAGAAGGGGGAGCGAGAGGATATAGATGACGAGGGTTAGGAGATGAGTTGGACGAGGGTGATGATGATGCTGACGGAAATCGTGCTATTAATGCTGCTGCTGGTGCTGAAGCTGATGGTGACGACGATGGTGGTTATGGATGGTGATGAAGACGATGGTGATCATGACGATGAAGATGATGATGATGGTGGTGATGGTGATGATGATGACGGCGACTACGACGACGGTGATGACGACGATGACGATGGGGATTCCGATAAAGAGTGTCAAGGAGGGGGGGAAAGAGCAGGAGGCAGAACATGAGAGGAAAAGGACGATGAATCCGCCGGCCCCCTTGCGGGGCCACCAGGCTGCGAGAGTGAGGATTGCAGCTCCCTGTGCCAGTTGCAGTTTCCAGTTTCCACTGTTACACTCCTTCTCTCAAATCCTTCCTGTTAACTGTTGGTGAACACGCGAGGGGGGGAACCCCCAAACCAGTTTTTGAACCACGCTCAGATAGCGCTGTTTGAATTCCTTGGGGGGCGTGGGGCACGAACAAATACATGATTCTCGCGTCCCCGAGTCCATAAACCTGTTTTGTAAATTGCGCAATATGCGCGTCCTCGAGGCCGTGAAGCCTCGCGATGTATTCACTGTTCGCGTCCCCGAAGCCATAATCCATCATAACTTACGCAATACTCGCGTCCCCGAAACCATAGAAACCCACGTGAATTACTCATGTCTCGCGTTCCCGAAGCATCATCGTAGATTACTTAATACTTGCGCCACCGAAGCCATAAACCCTGGTAGATGAATATTGCCCCTCGCGTCAAGTCCCGACAGTGCTTCACGTCAGCGCCCACACATACCAACGCAGCTCTGGCAAGTCCCATTCTAAGAGAGGGGGGCCGGCGGCATGGGGGCGAAGCCCTTACGGAGATTCATGCGGACGGGGGTAATGATGAAAATGAGGACGAATGATGAGGACGAGGGGAGCGAGCGGAGCGAGTAGGAGAACGATGAGATGAGACAAATGAAAAGGAGGAGGACGAGGAGGAGAAACATGATAGGAGAATGTGCAGGAGGATGAGGACAAGAACGATGAGAATAAGGAGGAGGTGGGGGAGGATGAGCAGGAAGAAAACGGTGACAGTGAGAGGGAGCAGCAGCAGCGTGAGGAGGAGGATATGAACATGAGGCTTGAAGGGGAGAAGAGGTTAGAGGAAACTAAAGGGCAAACAAAGAGAGCTAAGGAGGACAACTATGATAAATGATGAAGTCGTCCCGATGTTTGTGCGGTGGTGATGATGATGAGGAGAGGAAGGCTTGCCATGGTAATGGTGAGACTGATAATTGTCATGGTGGTCGGGCATATTCGGGCACTCTTGGGCGCCAGTTGAGTCGCCTGGGGGCCGTCTTAGGGGGCGCGCTGGGGGCCTCTCGCCCCGTCGAGGGAAGATATACTGGGCCTCCTGAGCGCTTGTAGGGCCGACCAGGCGAACGATATAAACAGTGACTCTTGCCCAAGGAGCTAGGACAATCTTTGCCTCCTGGGGCCCTTGTCGAGCCCAGCGACCACTACGGCTACTACTACTACTACTACTACTACTACTACTACTACTACTACTACTACTACTATTACTACTACTAAGACCAGTATGACTACTACTGCTACTACTACTACTACTACTACTACTACTACTACTACTACTACTACTGCTACTACTGCGACTACTACCACTGCTGCTACTACGCGTATTACTACTACTACGGCTACTAGCACTACGAGTACTACTACTACGAAGACGACCACCACTACTACAGCTACTCGTGCTACGAATACGAATACTAGTAGTAGTATT